TATCTCGCGCACTCTAAGTTTTCTTTTATAATCGATTGTTACGTTAGTATCTCGCGCACTCTAAGTTTTCTTTTATAATCGATTGTTACGTTATTATCTCGCGCACTCTAAGTTTTCTTTTATAATCGATTGTTACGTTATTATCTCGCGCACTCTAAGTTTTCTTTTATAATCGATTGATACGTGAGAACCTGGCGCATTCTCATTTTTCTCTTTTAATCGATTGTTACGTTATTATCTCGCGCATTGTAAATTTTTTCTTATAATCGATTGTTACGTTAGTATCTCGCGCATTCTCAGTTTTCCCTTTTAATCGATTGTTACGTTAGTATCTCGCACATTCTCAGTTTCCTCTTTTAATCGATTGTTACGTTAGTATCTCGCGCATTTTTGGTTTCTTTTCTAATCGATTCCTACGTTAGCATCTCGCGCATTCTAAGTTTTATGTTATAATCTAGTGTTACGTTAGTATCTCGCAGATTCTAAGTTTTCTCTTTTAATCGATTATTGCGTTAGTATCTCGCGCATTTTTAGTTCCTTTTCCAATCGATTTCTACGTTAGCTTCTCGCGCATTCTTAGTTTTCTCTTTGAATCGATTGTAACTTTAGTATCTCGCGCATTCTCAGTTTTCTTGTATCGATTGATACGTTGATACCTCGCGCATTCTCAGTTTTCTCTTTTAATCCATTGTAACTTTAGTATCTCTTGCATTCTCGATTTTCTCTTTTAATCTGTTGTTACGCTAGTATCTTGCACATTCTAAGTTTCCTCTTTTAATCGATTGTTACGTTAGTTTGTCGCGCATTCTTTGTTTTTTCTTCTAATCGATTGTTGCCTTAGTATCTCGTGCATTCCCTTTTTTCCTTCTAATCGATTTTTACGTTAATATCTTGCGCACTCTCAGTTTTCTTTTCTCATCGATGGTTAAATGATAAATTCGACACCGTCCACTTTTTTAATTGTAGTCACGTTGTATAGTTACTCAAAGAGAATAATTAATAATTATCCTTTGAAATTGAATTAGTGTTTTAATAGACATCACCGAAGCTGAATAACTAGAGGATAAAATTTTACTTTCTTTTTGTCCATGGCTCGGAAATGTTAAAATCTCGCCTTCCCCGAAATACATACTCACTTTCACAAAGTGGAAAATTTCCGTCGAGCCTTTTTTTTAAATTTTTTTTATGAAAATTGAAATGAAAACTAAAAAGGCACTGACTTAGAAGTTCTGTTGTCATTCCTTCACTTGATGAGTGGAATTCGTCTTGTTGTTGCATCCATGTTCAAAAGTGGGTGTTTCATTCCTGTACTATAGTGGTCCCCATTTTTCATAAACAAGGTATTGTAGTTCGATAGTTCCACAGAACATATGATGTCTGGAAGATTAAAAAATATATTTTGCTAATTGACATTCTTTTTTTCTCCGATGTATTTCAGATTTTGGAAGGAAGCATAGAAGGAAATGTGCTGAAGATCACTGTTACGTCTGAAGAAAGGAAGGCAGGCCAGGTGTGGTGTTCTTTACTGTGATTTAGATTTGAATGAAATTTTATCAAATACAACCGAATTACGGGGTGTCATCTTTGCGTTCTCTTATTTCCAAGATAAATGTTTGTGGTTACAATTGACTTCAACCTTACGAAGGAGGGCGGACTATTGTCTACATTTACCATAAACAGACTTCCGTTTTCTCAGCGTACCTGATTGTGAAAACACTGATTTGAAAGAAACTTTGCGTTTGTCTTTAAAAATTTGGCGAGTGGCTCGCTTTCTTTATCGTCTTAAATGACATCCGAATTCCTGGTGAGCTTTTATGTGAAGGTGTCGTCGACTTCCAAGATGTTGTTAATTTGCCGTCGGGGTTCTTGGGTTTATCGTCGTTGTTTTGTAGGAAATGTACAAAGTTGTTGATCGCACCTGCTGAGTTATTATTGAGCTGACTATATATTTTGTTTGATCAGTTAATCGTTGCTATCGCCGTCCTGGTTTGCATAGATCACTATTTGATGGTGCAGGCGAAGGGCGTACAGTTGTAGTCATTGTTGAACGGCCAGAACAGAAATGGTTGTTATTTCTTTAGAAGAAATGTTAAAAGCTCTGAAATATTTACTGTATTTAAGATAAATATTTACTGTGTTTTGTAAATTAATCTTAAAGAGTAGACTTGAACTGGTTTGGTAGTGACATATATTTTATTAATTTATTGGCAGTTACATAGGACGGAAATAAAAATTAATGAATTATTTTTGTGTTGTAGAGTTTCCTTGAGATTGTAAGAGAAAGAGAGAAGAAAAAAAAATGTCCAAGAAAGTAACGGCGTGGAAAGGAAGATGACATTTGCTCAGATTCAGAAGTATCGCGTGCAAGAGCTTTTACGGTAGGTTGAAAGTGGTTTGGATTTGAACTTCAAATTGAATTTTATTAATCTATTGTGAGTTGAATATTATTTAATAAAGCAGCATTGAAGAAAATGTCTAATTGTTTGTTTTTTTATTTTATAGATGCGCTAAGAAATGACCATCTGAAGTAAGAGATCAAGAAAGAATAGGAGAAATCAAGGGTCTGAACATCTGTTGTCATACCCATGTGTATAAAGACAGACATTTGCTTAGAATAAACGCATGCGTTTTGAAAAACTGTTTGTACCACAAAGTAGACAACTTATCGAAAGATTTAATTAAATACTTTGAAGAGTGGGTTAGGTGGGGGAGGCTGGATGGTTGAAATTAAAACTGTCTAAATAGAATGTAATCTTACTGTTATAATTTGGATATATCAACAAAGTCGAAATGGTAAAATGGCCACCGTAACGATTACAAAAGCTGACGTTTCGAGCGTTAGCCCTTCGTCGGAGCGAATAGAGGAATTGTGGGTTGTGTGTGCTTTTAAAGGCAGAAAATGGAGCTACGTTATTGGTGGGAACATGGCAACGAGAAAAACA